TGTGAAAAAACTCCATTTCTCTGGCAACCAGCATTAGGTTGTATATATTCCATTATTTCTGATTTCTACGTGGCCTTGGAGGCTTGAAATTTTTGAGTGGAGTTAAGACTGCTATTTGCTGCCTTGAAATGTTTCCTCCAGCAGAACATTAGTTTACCATTCTGGGTCACTCGGCATGTTCCCAGTTTACCTGGCTTTAAAGTGTTTCCTTTTGTATACCAGTTGTTTGGTGACTTTTTTAAGTGGAAGTTCCTTTATTCAAATAAAATCTTATTCAGAAGCCCAACTCGTAAAATAAAAATGTGGGCCTTGTTTTGATTGAAGTGAGAACAGCCTGAGCCCCGCAGTCTCTATCCCTTCACCTCTCATTGCCTGACAGCCACTTAGTCCCTTCAAAGACTTCTAGTGAACCCCCATTTCTGAATCGTGTTCATTCAGCCCAGCCACTCCCTACCTCTCAGTAGCCTGTGACGACGCAAGCTGGCCTTGTCCTAGGTTACCTCTGCCTGTGGATCAGTGTCCTTCAGGAGCTTCTCTTCCTCTACTCATTCCCTCAATGTTGGCGGCCTCTCATCTTCCTCATTCTTCACTTCTAAGGCTCATTGCTTCTATCTAAACGAAGTTCCAAATTGACACGTCCAGCCCAGAATCTGCTCTGAACAGCAGACTCCAGACTGCCACTGGCTGCTGGCTATAGAAAAGGTATTCATTAAAACTCAAGAAAGTAAGAGTCCCCCCCACAAGATGAAATGGCTGACATTCCCTCAGCTGCGCATCCAGCCAATCTTGCGGCTTAAGACAAAGTCTACAGCAGCTTAGAGAAGCGGCCACATTCTGATGTTGGGGAGGGGCTAGAGGGACATGAGCCTGGAGTGGGGAAGTTGCGCTGCGCCTTTTTTGACTCCCTTCTCTACACATCTCACCGCCTTGCTTTCCTACTCGTCATCGTAGTCAAACCATCAGGAACGTCATTGCCCTCAATTGTTGAAGGCACCACAGCTCCCAAACTCCATCCGACACTCCTAGCTAGGATTCCCGTGTAATTATGTCCATCATGGCCTTTGCCTGGAAAACATCGGCATTTAAGACTGCAGCATGCCAGATTTCGCTTAAACGGGAGGAAGAATTTTATGACAGCCAAGGTGAAGGAAGGAGATTTAAATACTGTAACAGGCTTTAGGGGCTAGATTTCTATTTGTGGAGAAGACCCTAGTCTTCTCTGTGGTCAACTAGGAGCAATGCAGTCCAAAACACTCGATAGTCGCAAGTGTTGTGTGATGGTAATTATGGGGTGGAAACGTCCCAAGAGAAAATGTGGTTCCCAGGCTGGCTGGAGCTTCCACTCCTGCCTTTGGTGGGCTAACAGTGGTCTCTGGGTAGTGACCAAGGCCTGGAACAAACATAAGACCTAGGTTGGGAGCTCTGGGACCCTTGCTCAGTTCATTCTTTGACTCTGAGTCACCCTGTGAATCCCACATTGAGCAATAGGGAAGCCTTAAGGACTATAAGAGTGGTCTTGGAGATCACAGAGGAGACTTGACCTGTTTTTCATCCAGTTGGGGGCTGCATGGGAAGAGAACTGAGGGAATATAGGGAATGGCAGATGCTTGGAAAAAAAGACTGAGAACAAGCTACAACTGGGGAGTGCAAGTGGGAGCTGACCCAGCTGAAGTTGGGCCTGATAGTTCCTCCATGGGTGTCTGTACTGTCTAACAAAGAACTAGACCCTTAGTCAGAGGACCCACAGTAGGACCATCTAGTGCAGCCCTTTCTTTTACAGAGGGAAACCAAGATTTGGGTTGGATAGAGTGGAAAGACCTTAAAACCACGAAAGAGCTCTGTCACTCTAGAAAAGCTTTTTGACCTGGCCAATACCTCTTGGCCTCCCTCCCTCCAGGTCTCTCTGATTTATAGGAATCTCTGTGTGTGTGTCTGATTGTTGCTAGAGATGGGAAGCATCTATTTGAGGGCAGGAACCACATGCCTAAGGCCATGATGCTAAGTAGTACAGTCTCTCAAGAACAGATCCTACTCTGTCATTTACTGGAGTATTGTCACATGGAGACGATAATGGTGGGCCTCCTGGGCTAAGGATGCTGGGGCACCCTTTACCTCAGGAGTCCCATCCTAGCCCACAGGGGTGGGCAGGATGAAGGAGCAATAGGAAAAAGAGGACAGGGGGATTATCTCTTGTGTTTGAAAAATTATATACCATGGCAATGTTAGAGTAAGTTAGGCAAAAAAACAGCAAAGCAGAAGCAGAATACTGCGTTAGCCCACAATGCTTTCTTCTCTCCCCTGAACACGTTTCTCGTGGTTTCTTCACTAAGTCTGCTGTGTGGGGACCTTGACTTCCTGAACAGATTCTGGGCTCTGTCTCTGCCTTCCCTTTCCTTTCCCTCCTCTTCTAACACCTAGCACAGCTAAGCTCACACTGGTGAAAGCTACAAACAATAATGGCAGTGGGGGGAAACCTACTGGTCCCTTTCTCTCAGAGTTTTACTGAAAATTCAGGAGACATCAATTTGATAACTCTCCAGAGAGCCAGGGACACAAACTAAGTCAGTGGTTCCCAAACTTGGATCATCCTGTCACTCAACCACCTCCTGGGTAAGGCCGGGAATCTGCATTTTTCTGGAGCTCTGCAAGTGATTACCTCACTGATCCTCAGATAGGCAATAAGTAATTCATGTGTAACTTTGAATTTACAGTTGGGTTACAGCCTCTTCAAATAAATGACAGTTTGAAGTTACCTCCTCCAGACCTTTTAACATTAATCCCATTTCCTACCTATTCCACCAATCCCCAACCTCTGATTTCTCAGATTTCAAATACTCTCTGATCATGTCTTGCTTGCGTGCCTCCATGAGAATGGAGCTCATCTGGGGCAAAGACTGGCTTAATCTTTTGCTCTATACTTCAGCTCTTTATTAAGGTAAGAAACTCAAGAAAAATTTGTTGGCAGATCAGATATATCCTTAGGAGGAATCTAGTGTTAAGAGAAGGTACTTTGGAGTCAGATGGTTCCTGTGTCTCAATTTTTTTCTTCTGTCAATACCTACCTCAAAAGGTTGTAGACAATAAATGAGACAATACCTAGAAATTACTCTGAACAGTACCTGCACTAGAGTAAGCATCCCACATGTGTTAGATGCTATTACTATTATTCAGAAGACCCCACTATCTGCCAGCCAGAACTGCCCCAACTGAGCAGGCTGTCACTGGCCAACAGGTATGGGGAGTGGTCCTACAGGGACAGAGCTTCTGGTTCCATTTTTTATAAGAGAGAAATGCAAATGACTCAAGATCTTCCCACAAAGACCAATATACCCACATGTATAGTTTCCCCCTGGGAGAATGACCCCTTTAGTACTCTGCAGACCTGAGGACCGTACAACAGGAGGTCCCAACTGGGATAATCGGTCACCAACTACCCGGAATTTAAGAATTGCTTACATTCTGAAAGGAGAGTTTGAAAAATCTCTAGTCTCCAAAGACAAAGCACCATCTCCATCTTTGACATGATGAAGAGATAAAAGGCTTTGTAAGCAGACCAATTTGAGCTCCAGTTTTAGAGCAAATCACTGTAACCCTCTGGACCTCACCTTACTCATCTACACAGAAATGGGAAAAGGGTAGACAAGGGAAAGGAGGGAGAGGATAATATCTCACTGGATTGTTGTGAAGTTTAAATGAGGTAATGGGGGAGAAAGCACCTGTCATAGAGCTTGATACACAGCAAGAGCTCAACTGGTGTTGGGTCCCTTTGTCCAGAGCTAAGGCCATGGCCTACAGACAAGGTAGGTATAGCTCTCAGAACTGAAAGTCTCAGACACTGAAGCCTTGGGTCCCTCCCTGCCTCCCCATCCCTCCCAGACCAGCTCCTAGACCCCCTCCTCACCTTCCCAGCCCCAGACTGCTAAATTGATGAAGCTAAAAGGGTTTTGATCATGTCGGTATATTTATATGTAAATACAAAACCGTATCACTGTAAGATATTGATTATGAACAAACATTACAACTATTTTCTGAATCTGACTCAGTCCATTAATGTTAAATACAAAATGAAATGATTGTAAAAAATAAGAATATACATATTCAAAGAGCTTATTACAGTATAAAATTATTGAGGTCTGATTAGCCACCAACCTCTTCTATGATGGGGGAAGGTTTAAGGATTCCTGGAATTTTCATAGGAACGTGGAGTGCTGGGGACTCTTGATTCCATCCCTGGCACATCAGGATGGGTGAACTGGGAGCATGCAGGGACAGGCTGCAGTGGGTAGGGGACCACCTCACCCAGCCAGGGGATTAAGCTTTTTATTGGCACAGAACCTTGAGCTTGAGCTCCAGGGTCTGGCAGGCTAGTAGGCAGGAAGAGATGGGCATCTTGGTAGATAGGGCCAAGCTGCATAAGGAAAGGAACCATCCAGAAAAAGAAAAAGGGGCCCCAGCTTGTCCTCCCAGGAGGGATTCTCATAGTAGTTTTCTCTCTCTCACACCTGGGCTCCCCTTCTATCCTTCTAAGACTTTGTACCAGTCACTTTTGGCTCTGGCTGCTCAGTAAGTTCATCTCTACCCCTGGGCTCTCTCATCCCTGGGGTAGTGAGAGGAAAGAGAGAACATGGAATCACAGTGGAGGTCTGTTCCCCAAAATGGCCAAGTAAACAGAAAAAAATCATCGGATAAGGGCAACCCATGCTGAATTAACCCAGTGTCGCCACAAACCAATATCCTTAGCTCCAACAGGCAGCATCGGGAGGTAAGTCATTACTTGAGGATGAGGGCCCGTGGCAGGAGCATGTAGGAGATGTGTGTGTGTGTGTGTGTGTGTGTGTGTGTGTGTGTGTGTGTACACGTCCTCTTTCACCACTCTGCAGTCTGACAACAGGAGACAGGATCCCCCACCCCAGCTACTCCAGGATAAATAGTAGGATCCAAGAAGCAAGGAGCCCTGAACTGCAACATGGAGCCCCAGGAACTTCTACAAAGGAGTATCTGTGTGTATATGTATTTATAGAATACAATCATATTATCACATACAATATATATTATATACACACGTACATATGGACCCATACACATAAGTGCACATACATACACGCACACACACAGAATGACAGAAAAGACTGGAATACACGCCCTGTGCATAAACGTGCTTGGCACTCAGGACGATCTGTAGAATATGTAACTTGGTCAATCAAGCTCTTGGGGAGGAAGGTGAATGCTCACCAAACCTTCCCATAAAATCCTGGCAAAGGGAAGGAGTGGGAAAGAGGAAACCTCCAGAAGGAGAATGGCACTGGGAAAGTGGGAGGGAGGTTCCTTCCCCACTTACCTCGGGGCCCCTGGCAAAAATCAACAGCCACAATTTGGTTTTAATAAGGCACAGTTTGATAGCAGGTGCTAGGAATTCAGAACACATTGCTGCTGGCCCTTTCTAGTGGCAATTTCACCACATTTATCTAGCCAAAGGGAAGGCTGCCTTGCGTGTACACGTGTGCCAGGAGATAAGAGAAAGGTTGATCCATGGCTTCAGCATAACTGTTGGCAACCTATAGGCCCAGTGGTGTCCAGGATAGTTTAAGGAAGGCTGGCCAGCAGGTAGGAGGCTCGTGGGAGAGTTACTGACCCTCCATGGCCAGCAGGTTGCGGCCAGAGGACACCATGCCCTCCTTCTCTGCGAACTCCAGGATGGCCTTGTAGCAAAAATAGTACTGCTCAGGGGTCTGGATGCTGAAGGCCCTCTGGGTTCTCATTCGTGACACCGTCTGGAACACATTAAGGGTGCCAAGCTCCTCCAGCTGTGCCAGGCAGATGTCCAGTGAGCAGAAGGTACCTGAAGAAGGAAGGAAGGGATCACATGTAGTTTACCTCTCCTCTCTTTCTCCCTCTACCAAATAACCCAGGGAGAACTGGATGAATGTGTTCAAAGGCAAGGTGCCTCATGGCAGGAGGCCAGATGGCCTTAGGCCTAAAAAAACTCAAAGAAGAGGTCACAGGGAGTGCTGAAGGCCAGAGAAATGAGAAGGCCTCTTGTCTCTCCGGACATACATGGGGGTAACAGGAAGAGTGGGAAGTGACACAGGAATTTCCTGCTTCGATCCCAGACAGACAGACTGACAGCACTCCCACGTTTAATGTCCAGAGACTCTGCAACTTTTCCACAGAGGCCTAACACAAACCTATCCTTTCCAACTTTCTCCCAAAGGGACCTCTAAACTAGAAAGGCCGGTGATTTCTGCAATGTACATCCCCTTAAAGCAAAAGGTGCTAACTGGCTCCACATGGAGAACACGGCACAGGGTGAGGAGTCCCCTCAGGAACCAGCTGTGTTCTCTGGGACATCCACAGTGACAGTGATGACAAGGTGACAGGGTCAGAAGATAGCATGCTGATGAGGTGTATAAAGCCCTAGAGGGCACCGCCTGTGAAGTACGTATTCTGGCCAGCACCTAGCACTGGGGATGCCAAACGGACAGTACGGAGGAATTTTCACAGCAATTTACCAGCAAGGGATCAAATGAGTTCTTTCTCCAATCGCAGACATGGCTGAGAGCTTTGTTATTCCTTCCCCACCTACTGCCTCTGGAGGCACCGAGAGCCCTGTCAGATGCATCACCTGTCCTGCCGATGCCTGCGCTGCAGTGGACCACGATGGGTGGCTCAGGGCACTGCCCTTTGGAACGTCCTCCCATGCTGCTCACAGCCAGACTCTGCTGGTGTCTGACCACTCTCAAAAAGTCAATGAGGGAAGCTGCTGAGGAAGGGACGCCATAATCTGGCCAGCTCAGGAACTGGAAGTGGGTCACCTGGCGTTTCTGCCGCTCCTTAGATGAGAAAAGCAGCAGAAGTTAATGAGGTCATTTCTGCCTGCCCCAGCTACCTCTGGCTTTTCCAAATTCCCAATACTCTAGTGTCCCTACCACCAAGGCTCCTGTCTACCACTGTCACCTTTCCCAGTTGCTTCTCTCAACAATTGCTTCTCTACAATAAGCCCAAAGGAAGGGTTAAATGTTTGAAAAAGGCAGAATTCCTATATTGTAGGATACAGAATTCCTTAGTTATAAGCTTTCTTCCTATGTAATGCCACTGTTAAGTTGAGATAATATGGCTATATTGGCTCTAAGTTGAATTATCCTCATCCTGTTCCCAGAAAAAAGAAGCAACTTATAACTTCCCTGGAATCCTGTCTATTCCCTCTGGAGATATTCTTTATGGTAGCGGTTCTCCCCCAAGTTTCAAAAAGTGAGAAAACAGAAACCTGGATTTACCTCTGTGTTGAGAATTTCTAGCGTTGTTTTCTTATAATGGTTCATGTTCTCCACACCTAGATTGGTCACTGTGAGGAAGCCAAATCGGACCCGAGAGTCTTTTTCTAAAGGCCAGTACTGGCCACACTTTCTCCTGCCGCCTTCCTCAAAGCTGAAAAGAAACAGAGCAAGGTAAGCCTTCCATTTTCACTCACCACAGCATAACCCCACTCCCCCAAGGACCTGCTGTACCCCTAGGCAGCACTGTCTTCTCTCGCACCGCTTCTAACTTACACCATTGATTCTCGGCAGAAAAGGAAGGAAGCCTCTTCATTCTGAACAGATTTAACAACAGGACAGTTGCTGCATGGACTCCTTTAGCCAACATTTATTGAACACTTACTACATCATTTGGTCTCTTTCCTGATACCTCGTGGGACTTCTCACAGAACTGGCATAAACACTGAGAGTGGACAAAGGAAAACAGTAGAGAAAATATGATGGGTCAGAGAGAACGCTCTGGCCTGTGCCTCAGCCACTGCTCACGCTCTTCGCCAGTAAGGGCTGTTGGCTGATAAAGGACTGGGCAAGACACGGTTACTGGGATGCTAGTGGGAGGTTTATGTAAAGGCCTAAAGTCCACCCCACTCCACCCCTTTTCAGTGGCCCCAAAGTACTCCAAGCTGGCACTTCTCCCACTGCCTCCTCTCCGAATCAAGGTGGTTACAATAGTGCCCTGAGGAAGGGGACTGAGCAAACATTCTCACTGCATTTTCTTCTCATCATCTGAAATAGCCTATAATTATAATGATAATGGTATTAATGAAATAAGTAATTCTTTAAATTTAGGAGATTTGTAGACTAAAATTTCAAAAATATTCCTTTCATTAAGAGCTTCCTGCCTGACCCACTATGTTTCACCTCTGTCTTTTTTTGTAATTCTCCTACAGGTAGAAATATCTACAACCAGAAAAAATGGTCAAAAGTAGGAAATGGGGAGCAAGGAAGAAGTGGTACTTCAGGAACCCGGAAGACAGCTTCCCTCTGGAAACAAGGGCCAGACTGAAGGTGAATTGTGCCATGTTTCCCAATACTTCCTTCAGTGAATAAGGCCAGGACCCCAGAATCGGCCATAACTGGCACAGGGTCACCAGAGCCATGAATTAAAGGTTTGACAAATTAGATCTATCAATCTCTACCACACCCTGGTTGTGTTAACTCCGGATTAGCTGCAAACAAGGTAAGATAGCTCGAAATCTTTGCCATGGCTTGCCTAATCCTCACTGTATCTTTTTTTTTTTAATTTGCAGAGAGACAGGGTCTTGCTCTGTCGTCCAGGCTGGAGTGCAATGGAGTGCTCATAGTTCACTACAGCCTCCAACTCCTGGGCTCAAATGATCCTCCTACCTCTGCCTACAAAGTAGCTGGGACTACAGGCATGCCCCACCACACGTGGCTAATATTTTTATTTTTAATTTTTTTTTGTAGACACGGGATCTCACTATGTTGTACAAGCTGGTCTCAAATTCTGGGCCTCAAATAATCTGGTTTCAGCTTCCCAAAGCACTTGGATTAGAGGTGTGAGCCAGCCTCCTCAGCCTAATCCTCATTGTTTCTAAGAGCTAAACTCCCTCTTGAATCCCCCAAATTTACAGAGTGGGGGTGGGGATCAGTGGGGGGGGAGGAGGGATTAACTCACCGGGTGGTCATGACAATCACCAAGACTTTTTGCTCCCATACCATGAGCCAGAAATCACGATAGGTATTCTCCAAAGGGCCTGAAGTGAAAGGAGAAGACAAGGAACATGACTCTGGGAAGCACTTTGTTCTTTCTTAGGCTTTTCTGTTTTTCTTCCCAACACTAACTCCAAACCACAGATGTTAGCTCCCTGCTCATCTCTCCACGTCCCAGCTTTTCAGTGTGGTCCTTGGACCGACAGCACCAGCATTACGAGCATCGTATGGAAGAGTGTTAGGAATGCAGAATCTGCAGGTTAACAAGATCCCCAGGACGGTTGTAGGGAGGTTACTGTGTGGGAAGCACCGTTACATATGCACTTAGTCCTAATCATCAGAGATTCAGCCACCACATCCAGGCTCAGAGTGTCAACTGCATACATGTCTCTAGCTGTTTTCATCTCCCCTTAAGCTTCAGCCTTATAATCACAGGTTGTGCACTAAACCATTCTCCTTCTGTGTCTCATCATCTCAGAACCAGTATGTCCGCAACCCAGTGTCCTTCGAAATTAGCTTTATCTTTCAACTTTATCATCTCTGTTAACAATATTGGCATTCTTAAGTCATTCAGTCTTAAAAAGTTGAGGTAAACTCTAACTTACCTATTTCCTTCATTTCCCAGATGCAGTCAGTCACCAAATTATACAGATTTTTTGGCCTTTGAAATGTTTTTGGTTTTTATCCTTTTGCCCCTACCCTCTTTCCATCCTATTCTTCCTGCCATGAGGACCACATCGTCTTTTGTCTGAGTTACTATAACACCATCTTAATTGACTTTTCTGAGTAGGTCTCTTTACCTTCCAGTCTATTCTGGATACCCCGACCAGTTTAATCTTTCTAAAAAAAAATTGCTCTGTCACAATATAGATACACCATGCTCACTTCTCCATCTATTCCTCTGCTCAAACTGTCTTCCCGACCTCCAGTGCCATTCACTGTCTACCCATTTTCAAGTGCTGCCTCTTCCTGGAAGCTTTCTCTGACCACCGCATTCCTTGTGGGACAACTTCTCCTCTGAGCTCATGATGGCACAGCTGGATCTAAATAGCTTAACCATTTAATTTATATTTACATCAGTCATTTTACTTTATGGGAATTAATGATGGCTCAGTAAACATGGTCCTGAGGACAAGGCCCATGTTGTCAAGTTCTGCTTTTACAGTTAGAACCTGCACAGGGCTGAGCACTCAGCAACAACTTTGGAAATATTTGTGGATGGACCACCAACTCCCTTTCAATCAAGAAAGTAACAACTCAGGACAATTCATTGTACTTTCCCAGTGCTTTTTCCCTCTCTCCTTTCAGGGAAGCAGGGCAGTACTAAGGGTGATTTTGGCCTAGAAGTCTGTTGGTTCACTACGATTTTTGCTAAGTCTTTTAGCAAGCACTGAAATCTTATGATATTAGAAGTCCCTCTTTGCTGAAGTAGACATTGCCAAAACCATGTGAGGTCTTGGAAATAAGCTAAATGTCCAACAAGAGAAGATTAGTTAAATTATGGCATACCCATAATTTATGTAGTCCATAAAGCCAATGTTGTAAGATCTGTTATTTTCTGCCATTGAAAGGTAGTCACAAGATACCATTAAATGAAAAAAGAGACAACGTATAGAAAGAGTCCATTTTGTTAAATACCTTATATGTCTGTATCTGTATGTATGCATAGGAAAAGATCTAGGAGGAGATGCTGTAAAATGTTAACATTATCTCTGGATCTTAGGGTTAGAGTGAATCCAAAGCCCCTTTTCCCTTTTTTCTCCCCCAACTTTCATTTTGAACAATTTCAAACCTACAGACAAGCTGAAAGAGTAATACAATGCACCCATACATTCTTTAGCTAAAAAGCTATCATTTTGCAACATTTACTTCTCTCTATACACACACACATATTTTTCCATTTCACAGAACTATGTAAAAGTAAGTTGTAGACTAAACTTAACGATACTGTATTGTGAACTTAAAAATTTAAGAGGGTAGATCTCAAATGTTCTTACAATTAAAAAAAAATTAAAAAGTTGCAGACATCATGGTATTTCACTCCTAAATACTTGAGCATGTATTAGGAAAACAAGGATATCCTCCTACAGAACAATACCATTATCACACTGATACAATTTAACATTGATATGATGATAGCTGACACAAAGTCTCCATTTTTTTTATTTTAATTTAATACAAACGGTGTGCCTATGTTGCTCAGGCTGGTCTCGGATTCCTGGCCTCAAGCAATCCTCCTACTTTGTAATCCCAAAGTTCTGGGATTACAGGCGTGAGCCACTGTGCCCGGCCCCTCCAACTGTCCTAATAGTTTGTCTTTAATAGGTTCTTTTCTAACAACTGAAGATCCAATTACAGATCACATATTGCCTTTGGTTATCTCTTAGTCTCCTTTAATCTAGAACCGTTCACTGCTTTTTTTGTTTTTCATGACATTAACTGAAGAGTCTGAGCCAGTTTTCTTGTAGTATGTCCCACAATCTGGATTTGTCTGGTTTGTTTCTCATGATTAGATTTATATTTTAAAACTAGCAACATACAACACAGGTGATGTGCATTTCTCACTGCTTCACATCGGGAGGCATATATAATGTCCCTTTGTCCATTACTGATGATACTAAGCTCAATTACTTCATTGGGTTGAGGAGGTATCCACCAAATCTCTAGCTGGCCACGCTCTTCAATGGTCAAAGTCCCTAAACCCACATGGTGGTCTATTTTGTCCTCTTGTGTTGTGATTTCCTCCCACCCTCCCTGAAGGTGACATGATATTCTTGAGAGGTACAGAAGCCAGGTCAGGGGGAGTACTGGGCCCACAGGAGCATTCATAGACACTCCATCTGAAATCCTCCTAAGGTCTAGCACTTCACTGTCAGACTCAGCCCAAAGTACTTACGTCAGGACCTCTGTGTGAGCGCTCTGTACAGGGACCAACGAAGACCTGCTAGGTGAGCAGCACTCATTCCTACACTGTACTCTGTCTCTGGGGACCCCTGCCATTCACAGCCTCTTACTGGACATGAAGAGCATATCACTGGAGGGTGAGTCCTGATGCCCTGCCCCCTTGCATTGGCAATATTAAGCTATAGCCCCCAAACTTGCAGGCAGTAGTGTTATGTGTTTAAATCTCCAGTTTATCTCTATGCAGTGGGTTTCCAGCCACACCTGGTACAGAAACCCTACAGCTCTCATCTGTCTTTTTCAACCACTTCCAATATTTATGAAAGGTTAGGATTTAATGGGCACAAAACAACTCAAGTTAGCAGTTCCTTTAAAAATTATGCTGTCATCTAGCACAAGGAATCACAGGTACATGGCACAAAACCAACACGTGAGGGCTGGACCAGCTTACCTTGTGTACCAATGTAAGCATTCTTCTGCTTATAGCCATCCATGAAACTGGCATTGATGTAATCTGTCTGATGATAAAAAGGAGACATCATTTCAGCTGCACGAAATATACCATTTGGGTCATAAAATGATGTACTGGGGAAGTACAACTGAAGGTGTGAATATTGCCTTGTCAAGCAGAAAGTGAGGAGTAAGGATCAATTCAAAACCTCACTCAACAAATGACACATGGACAACAGGATATCTAAATGCGGAAAAATCAAGCTAATCCCTTCCTTACGCCATAAACAAACAGGAACTCAAAATCGATTTTGTTACTACAACAGGCCTGTTCGTGGTCTGTGGCAAATGTATCTTGCTCTTGCTCTGTAAGCCTATCTTGGCCTTCCTCAATAAACTTCATTTCAGACTTAAAAAAAACCTCTTAAAAGAAAGTAAAGGAGTAAATATTCATGGCCTTGGGTTAGGTAAAGCTTCTTGGATATGACATCAAAGGCACAAGTGACAAAAGAAAAGAAAAAACTTGGGCTACATTAAAATTAAAAACTTTTGTGCTTCAAAGGACACATCAAGAAAGTTAAAAGAATAACCCATAGAATGCATATATTTGGTAAGGAACTTGTATCTAGGATACACAAAGAACTCTTACAACTCAATAATAAAAAGATAAATAAGCCAATTTAAAAATGGATAAAAGGCAGTGGGTCATGGTGGCTCACACCTGTAATCCCAGCACCTTGGGAGGCTGAGGCAGGAGGATCGCTTAAGCCCAGGAGTTTGAGGTTACAGTGAGCTACGACTATGCCACTGCTCTCTAGCCTGGGTGACAAAACAAGGCTCTGTCTAGGAGTCGGGGGTTGAGTTGATTATGGTGATGGTTGCACAACTCTGTAAATATATTAAAAACCATTGACATGTATACTTTAAATGGCTGAATTGTATGGTATGTGAATTAAATCTTAATAAAGTTGTCATTTACAAAAAAAGAGTCCATTAGGACTTGGAGCACCATAGCATAGGACCAAATAGGAGGCAAGCCAAGCAACCTGAGTAGGAATATCCATCCTGTCCATCCTGCCACACACAAAAGGCACAGTGTGAATGGAGATGGAAGAAAGCTGTACCTCGTACCCAGGACCAACAACAGGGCCAAACACCTAGACTCCATTGCTACCTGAATTAGTACAAAGCGACTTCCAGCCAAATTCAAAGGAGTCTCAATGAACAACAGTTCCTGACTCCCTCTCTTCCAAGTACTTCTCCCATCTCCTAATGTCCTCAGTCTTATGTATTTCAACATCATTTTTTTTATTATACCTACTCACAAGATCCCTGCCAACATCCTTTAATCTAGGTTGATAAAAGAGAAACACTGAAACCAGGTGAGATTAGCTCACGCCTGTAATCCGAAACATCTGGGAGGCTGAGGCAGAAAAACGCTTGAGCTGAGGAGTTTAAGACCAGTCTGAGCAAGAGCAAGACCCTCATTCTACTAAAAATAGAAGAAATCAGCCAGGTGTGGTGGCGAGCACCTATATAGTCCCAGCTACTCGGGAAGCTGCGGCAGAAAGATCGCTTGAGCCCAGAAGTCGGAGGTCGCAGTGAGCTATGAAGACGCCACTGCACTCTAGCCTGGGCAGCAGAGCGAGACTATCTCAAAAAAGAGAAAGAAAAAAAGAAACACTGATGCAGCTACAGTTTCAAGTTATAATACAACTATTAATAGTTGGGAGTTGAATGGATAGAGGCAGTAGAATGGATAGAGGAGGAAATGGAAGGTTACAGAAAGACAAAAGAGAAAAAGATTCAGTAGCAAACTAGGGAAAACTCATAGTCTACTACTACACTATAGAGAGGTCAGACTGACTCCTTCCTCAACCCTGGCACCCTTGCTCCAGTGGATCCTATCACTTAAAGGGCAGCTTGAACTGTCAATACCCCAAAGCCACTCTCCTGCTTGGAAACTTTTATTTTGACAAAATAAATAGTGGAGTAATTAGTTGAGTTTTCTCCTCCCACAGCAGCTAGTATTGACCTCATACTACTATGTTCTACCCTGATTCAAACAATTTCATTGAACTAATAGACCACAGGCAGGAGACCCAGCATGCTAAAAGCCTCACTCACTCCCAACCAAGCTTCCAAATCCAGGGCCCACCACAGTCAGCCAAAGCCCATCCTCTATTCAGCCTGGCACATACAAGTGATATATCCTCTAGGACCCAAGGGAGACGAGATAGAAAAGTATAAAAGATTTACCTGGTATATGCCAATCAACATTATTATAAAAGTAATATATAAGCTGTTACCCCAGCAGTTATCTTTAATGCTTTGAAAAGAAATGTCACCTCTTTAAAGATGACTTATTATTTCATTATATTAGTAAATGAGGATATACCAGCTTTCAGCATCCTTGTCTGAAAGGAGCAATTTGAGAAGAATCATAGGAAATTAAAATGAAAAATGACCTCAGAGACAAAGCATAGACTTGTGGACTTTGGGGAACTGAAACAGTAGAAAGAACCAAACCAAGGGCACTACGTCATGGGCCATCGCCACAGACTGAATGTGTCCTGCCCTCATGCAGATGTAGAAATCCCAGCTCCCAATGTGATGGTATTAGGAGCTGGGGCCTTTGACAGGTGATTAGGTCATGAAGAACAGGAAGACAGCTCTCACAAATGGATTAGTGGCCTTGTAAAAAAGGAGAGCTCCAGAGAGCTCCCTTGCCCCTTCCTCCAAGTGAGGGTGCAATGACTAGGTGGAGGTCCGTGAACCAGGAAACTGGCCCTCACCAGACATGGAATCTGCCAGCACCTCGGACTTCTCCACCTCCAAAACAGTGAGAAATAAATTTCTATTGTTTATAAGCTACCCAGTCTATGATATTTTTGTTATAGCAGCAGCCACAGACTAAGACAGCCATGTTCAATAGAAACTGCAACTAGGCCGGGCGCGGTGGCTCACGCCTATAATCCTAGCACTCTGGGAGGCTGAAGCAGGCGGATTGTTTGAGCTCGGGAGTTTGAGACTAGCCTGAGCAAGAGCGAGACCCCATCTCTACTAAAAAATAGAAAGAAATTAGCTGGACAACTAAAAATATACAGGAAAAAATTAGCCGGGCATGGTGGCGTATGCCTGTAGTCCCAGCTACTTGGGAGGCTGAGGCAGGAGGATTGCCTGAGCCCAGGAGTTTGAGGTTGCTGTGAGCTAGGCTGATACCACGACTCTGTCTCAAAAAGAGAAAAAAAAAGAAACTGCAACTAACAGCTTTAAAATTCCAGGAGCAAATCAAGTAACCAATTCACTGATAAACCTCAATCTTCCAATATTTGAAAATTGCAAAGAAAATAGATTTTAAGTGTTTTACCACACACACAAAAAAAGGTTTGTGAGGTAATATGTACCACTAGCTTGATTTAGCCATTCCATAATGTATACATCTTTCAAAGCATTATGTTGTACATCATAAATACATAAAATTTTGTCCATTAAAATAAATAAATACATAAATGTCAAGAAACAAAATAAGAAAGAATAGCCCCAAAGGTAGAAATACCACAAAAGTATCATGTCCCTGAAGTTAAATAAATAATTTAATGTTGGACCTGGCACGGTGGCTCACGCCTGTAATCCCAACACTTTGGGGAGGCCAAGGCAGGAGGATCGCTTTAAGCCAAGAGTTCAAGACTAGCCTGGGCAACATACTGAGACTCTGTCTCCACAAAAAAAATTTTTACAAATTAGCCAGGTATGCTAGTGCACACCTTTGGTCCTAGCTACTCGGAAGGCTGAGGCATGAGGACTGATCTTGAGCCCAGGAGTTGGAGGCTGCAGTGAGCTATGATGGCACCAGTGCACTCCAAACTAGGTGACAGATTGAGACCCTGTCTCAAAAAAAATAGTAACTTAATGTCAAAAAAACCAAAACCAAAACAAAACAAAAAGCCCCTGACAATGTCTATAGTAATGAAAGAGACTACAAATCAGGCAATGATCTTCAGATTAACCAAAGAGTGACTAGAATGGTCTCCTGGTACACTGAGATGCACTCATTCACAAATATTTCCTGAATGTCTGATATGTGCCAGGCATCACTCTAGGTACTAGAGATAGAGAAGGCGACAAAACAAATAAATACAGCTATCTCTGACTCCAGAGCCCCAGCTCAGCCATTGTACTCCTCTCCTTTAGAACATACACTATGACAATCTCAGCAGTACCGTGAATTTACCCTCAAGTGAGCCAGACTTTTAGCTAATGATCCTATAGGAACACTCTCTGTAAGAGTTCTGTAAAGGGCTGTGAATTCAGTTTATGTGCTTAAAACAGTAGGGTCAAGAGAGAGTAAAACATGATTATCAGGTCCTGATCCACATAGCATGTATGCCCAAATACAAGGCAACGATTTTTCCAAAAATTATCCCCCAGAAAAAGAGGGGGGTGATATAAGTTGTCCTTATAATGTGTATCATGTTAAAAAGGCACTATTTAAATTCCTTTACTTTGACCAGCAACCTCAAGCAATGCTTTTTTTTTTGAATGCTTGCAGAGATCACCAGACAAAATTAGTGTACCAGAAGGAAAAAAAAAAAAGAAATAGAATACCTATTCAGTCATTCATGTCAAAATTCTAAGATTGGATGTTGCTGTAAACAAATTATAATAAAGAGGATTTTAAAAAGGAAGACGTGAATGATCATGTTATAGAGGATGCATCAGATGCAGGGTGAATGAAAAGAAAAACCTGTCCTAATGTTATCCTAATAGATTTTTCCGGTTTAGGATAAACTTTCCAGTAAGAATACCACACACTTAAGAGGAAATAAAGATGCTGTGCTCTGGAAAGCCATGTTAGATTGACTCAAAAGTGCTCAAATGATGACAAAGACTCCCATGTTAAAGGTGCATGTGAAGAGTTTGAATAATTTTTTTTTTTTAAGACAGGGTCTTGCTCTGTCACCCAGGCTGGAGTGCAATGGCATGATCACAGCTCACTGCAGCCTCAAATCCCTGGGCTCAAGCAACTGTCCTGCTTCAGCCTCCCAACTAGCTGGGACTACAGGCATACACCATCATGCCCAGCTAATTTTTCTTATTTTTTGTAGAGATAAGTGTCACTATGTTACCCAGGCTAGTCTTGAACTCCTGGCCTCAAGTGATCCTCCTGCCTTGGCCTCCCAAAGTGCTGGGATTAAAGGCATGAGCTGCCTCGCCAGCCTGTGATTACTAATATGTATGGATATCAAATTAATGCATTCAATAATATAGTCATTTGACCATTTCATCTCAATTCCTAGACATTTTTTGTATTATGTAAAAACTGGTTGTCTACAATTTTTTTCAGATCTAGATGGAAAAATCAGAGGTCACTCATAATCAAAGTTGCTTTGCATCAATACAAAATATACAATACACTCACCAACTGAATTGGACTATATGACCCTGACTTTACAACTACGGAATAAAAGGAAAAATAATTAAACATTTATCAAGCACCTATAATATATCAGCCTTGTACTATCAGCATTCACATAAAGAATTTCACTTAATTTCCACTCAGCACTGTGAGATGAGCATTCAGGGATTTGCCTGTGATTGCAGACTAGTATGTAGCAAAATATGAATTCGAGTCTTATCTCCCTGGCTTCAGAGTCCGTTTTCACTCTACTATAGTATTAAAGCTCTACTTTGGAAGAAAATTTCCCTCAGTGCTCCTAAAAAGATAGCATTTATTTGTCTACCTGAGTATGGCCACTTCGCTTTGTCAGCTTCACCCTAGTTTGGTCCAGGCAGGGTACATCCCCGTAACGGTTCTTCTCTAGGTTTCCTGGAGACCTGAAGGAAATGAAACAAACAAGCTAGAATAAAGAAGTGGAGGCAATGTGTATGTTCAAAGTCTGACAAGGTAAAGGTGGGTGTCAGTTACTCTTGGGGATGGTGACAGGGGAGCCTTTCCCTCTCTAGTCCACAGTTTCGTATCATTTAATGTTTTTTATGATAATATATACTACTTGAAATAAATATATTTCCACTCAAAAGAGACAGGGAGTCTGCAATGGACTAAGACAGAAATTGTCACTGAGCAGGGAGGTGCTGCTATAACAGATACCTAAAAATGTAGAAGCAGCTTTGGAAATGGGTCATGGGGAAGAGGCTGAAAGAATTTGGAGATGCACGCTAGAAAAAAGCCTACATTGCCATGAACAGAGAATAAAGGGCAATTCTGGTAAGAGCTCAGAAAAGAAGAGCTATAGAGAAAGGCTTGATTTTATTAGAGATTACCTACGTGATCATGATCAGAACGTTGGTAGAAATATGGATGGTAAAGGCCATTCTGATGCGATCTCAGACAGAAGGGAGGAGCATGTTCGAAAAAAAGAGAAAGAGAGGGAGGGAAAGAGAAATAGGGTATATCCCCAAAATATCTAGCTGCAGATAAAAATTTCTACTACTCATTTATCAAAAGATGTTCAAACCAAATCTCTTAAATTCTAGTTTAACATCGTACATTGACAATACACGTCAACGCCACTCCATCTACCAAATAGCCTCACTAAAATGACAATAAAGGAACTATTTGGTATAAACCCAAAAAATGGCAGTGGAGACATCTACAAAGAGATTTCAACCCGAGCTGGCAGACAGAAAGCAAATGGGAGGATTTTGGCTGATTTGGCCAAATGCAGGAAACTAGGACCTAGGAAGGTCCTACAGAGAGACAAAATGACTTACCCTCAGAATTCCTACACCTTGGATGGACGCAAGATGAGGCACAGGGCTAAAAACAAGGGAACACATGAAAACCCAAAAGATACACAGTGAGAATCCCTGCCCCCTCCTCCCTGTCGTTTCCTATACTCCTCTCCAAGCTTGGATCCCGCCAGTCAATAGACAGGAGAACTCTCCTGTAGAGAGAGTGAACGGCACCAGGTAAAAGAATTCTGTCATTTGGCATACATCAACAAGAAGCTAGCTGTCTGATCATTTTAATTTGAAGCTCACTCATGTAGAAAGAGCTTCTAAGTAGCTTTTAAGGACCCAACTCCTAAGTGTGAACTAACAGCCAAGGACCTCCAGATAATTAAGGAAAACCCCTAACACAAG